ACCAGCTGTGCCAGTCCTGCTTCTGGAGGGGCCACGCCAGCGGCCCCCACAGCAACCAGCACCAGATGAAGGAGCACTCCTCCTGGGTAAGGCCTTCCTCCTGGGCAGGGGCACTGCTGGTGGGTCAGGGGCACTCCTGGTGGGTCAGGGGCACTGCTGGTGGGTCAGGACACTGCTGGTGGGTCAGGACACTGCTGGTGGGTCAGGGGCACTGCTCATGGGTCAGGGATACTCCTGGTGGGTCAGGGGCACTGCTCGTGGGTCAGGGATACTCCTGGTGGGTCAGGGGCACTCCTCCTAGGCAGGGACACTGCTGGTGGGTCAGGGGCACTCCTGGTGGGTCAGGGGCACTCCTCCTAGGCAGGGACACTGCTGGTGGGTCAGGGGCACTACTGGTGGGTCAGGGGCACTGCTCGTGGGTCAGGGATACTCCTGGTGGGTCAGGGGCACTGCTCGTGGGTCAGGGATACTCCTGGTGGGTCAGGGGCACTGCTCGTGGGTCAGGACACTGCTGGTGGGTCAGGGGCACTCCTGGTGGGTCAGGGGCACTGCTCGTGGGTCAGGGGCACTGCTGGTGGGTCAGGGGCACTCCTGGTGGGTCAGGGGCACTCATCCTGGGCAGGGACACAGCTGGTGGGTCAGGGACACTGCTCCTGGGTCAGGGCTTTCTCCTGGGTAAGGGTTTTTCCTGGGTCAGGGACACTGCTCCTGGGTCATGGCATTCCTCCTGGATAGGGGCATTCCCTCTGCTTCATGCCATTCCTCCTGGTTCTTGGCATTCCTTGTGGGTAAAGGCTTCTTTTGGGGGTCAGGGCACTCCCCCTGGGTGAGGATATTCCTCCTGGGTGGGGATGTTCCTCCTGGGTGGGGCTGCTCCCCCTGGGTGAGGATGTTCCTCCTGGGTGAGGATGTTCCTCCTGGGTGGGGCTGTTCCTCCTGGGTGAGGCTGCTCCTCCTGGGTGAGGATGTTCCTCCTGGGTGGGGCTGTTCCTCCTGGGTGGGGCTGTTCCTCCTGGGTGGGGATGCTCCTCCTGGGTGGGGCTGTTCCTCCTGGGTGAGGATGTTCCTCCTGGGTGGGGATGCTCCTCCTGGGTGGGGATGTTCCTCCTGGGTGAGGCTGCTCCTCCTGGGTGAGGATGTTCCTCCTGGGTGGGGCTGCTCCTCCTGGGTGGGGCTGCTCCTCCTGGGTGGGGATGTTCCTCCTGAGTGGGGATGCTCCTCCTGGGTGGGGCTGCTCCTCCTGGGTGGGGATGTTCCTCCTGAGTGGGGATGCTCCTCCTGGGTGAGGCTGTTCCTCCTGGGTGAGGATGTTCCTCCTGAGTGGGGATGCTCCTCCTGGGTGGGGCTGTTCCTCCTGGGTGGGGCTGTTCCTCCTGGGTGGGGCTGTTCCTCCTGGGTGGGGATGCTCCTCCTGGGTGGGGCTGTTCCCCCTGGGTGAGGATGTTCCTCCTGGGTGGGGCTGTTCCTCCTGGGTAGCTGGATCTGGAGCAGCCTCTCCGGGCTGGTTCCCTCAGGCACATTCAGGTCTGGGGCAGAGCTGCTCCA